TGTGGTAAAAAATCCTACACCACTGCATGAAGATAAAGTCTTCAAAGTGTTATCATAGCAGCCAGTCTGTGTGGAATAATTGCAATGCTTTGGACTATATTCTTCATGCAGTGGTGTAGGATTTTTTCCACACCAGTTTGCAAGTACCCTCATGTTTCTTTACTTTTTTCCAATTCAATCCTACTACTTTTCCATTTTTAATGTTTTTTATTTACTTGTTTCCATTCTTTTTCTTAAAATTAATAAATTACATTCTGTTATGATTCTGTGGTTAGGTTAATTATATTCATGTTGATCACGTGCGCATAAATTAAAATGGCGTCAAACCACAAACCCACGCGGTGTCTGCAGCTGGATTTTGTCTGCCATTTCTTCTCTGTCCTCGCTTCTTTTTGAAACTACCTTTGTGGTCCTTGACCCAAGCCTAGAGGAATGATGTCAAAGCCAACTCGAGCGCTTCTCTGGCTTAAAAGATTAACGGGTGCATAGAAGAAGATGAAAGAAGAAAAAGTCTGAAGAATTTTGCAGAAATTTGAATTTGGGCCTATTCTCCAGAATTGCTCCCGCTACATTACAGTCCACTTTAAAGGTACCAGGAGAATCGCTCAGTGAAGGAGAGCTCATTTAAGCCATTTATAAGGCTGTACAACGTAAGATAAAAGAGTTATAAGTGTTTGAAAATCATTAAAACGGCCGCCATCTTGAAAAACCAACCTCAATCCTACTTATAGGCTAGTGCTACCGCCTATATAATAGTTAGCATAACGGTAATACTTTTTTGAATGAATCATGCCAGTCTTAGCACTGTAGTGGTGGAGTGATTTTTTAAAGTCACTTGCTAATGTGTGTTAAAAAATTTTCACTTAATAAATTAAGTCTATTTAATTTTTTGTGATAAGAATTTTGTGAACCCATCAGGTTTCAGGGCCATGAAGGGAGGGAAATATGATTTCATCTGTCTTTGCCACTGTGATAGACTCTTAGATAGGCTGCTAATGCTTGGAAAGGATTGATTTGTTGTTTAAACTCAAGCCTACGTGTATATAGATGTTTGTTGTTTATGAATATAGTTATAGAATTAAAACACACTAGATAGTATAGACAATGTTATTTGTGGATTTTTGTTGACGTGAAAATTATTTACTTAAGGTAATTAGTATGCTTAAAGTGATACTATTAAATTATGAAATATTTTTCAAATAATACCACTAAAATTTATTTTATTTTAGATGTGGACATTTCATATCGTCCAGTGTATGATGAGCTTCGTACGGTACACACTGACCTTATTGATAGTGATGAGAAGTTAGTTGCAGTTAAAGCAAATGATCTTTTGTTGCGTCTTGGAGTAAGGAATCTTAATATTACTGAAGTCATTGAGCAGCACATTATTCCACATTTCAAAAAAGAAAATACTGAGGTCAGGTGGTTATAATTTAATCAAAAATTGAAATAATTATATTTTATAGGATACTAGTGAACATTTGCTGATTTTGTATCTCTCATTTATTGAGAATGCTATTGAAAGAAACCAGTTCTCTCAGAAGAAAGCAATAGATGAACTAAAGGGACATGTTGTTTTGATCACTGAAAATGGAAAAAGGCTCAAGCCTAGTGATGAAGTGATTCATTTTCATTCAAAATACGAACCACAATGTGATCTTACTAAAAGTTTCCCAAGTATGTCTATGCATATATAGTTATAAATTTTCCATAAACATTTGTGACCATAATTGACAAAAGGTACCTTATGGCGGATTTTAAAATTCATCATTATAATGAAAAATATCAACCTGTGAGTGCTCTGTTAAAAATCTATTGTTTCTAAAAATTACATAGTAACTTTTTGCATCCTGTTCAGTAATTTTATAATAAATGGAGCTCAGGAAGTTCGATTTTTATGGCTATAAAGACACATTTCACTACCCGCCATAAGGTACCTTTTGTCAATTATGGTCACATTTATTAGTGGGAGATTTGATTGCTACATTGTATGCGTATTATACTCATTCTCAATCAAATGTGGTCACACAATACTGTATACACTGATTATTGGCCTCTCCTAGCTTTGTGTAGGCGAGGACTAGGTACTTTGGTTGTCTGTCTGTCATTACCCGAGACCGCGTAGGCGTTGGTCGAGGGTAAAGCAGTCGTCCTGTCTGTGTGTTCGCTTTAACCTCCACTTTTGAGCTGACACTGCTTTCTTGTCTTGTCCTAGAGAGTCTTATAATCAACACTGGCTCTAGAAAAAGTTATTCTCCGTCTTGGGAATCCTTGATTTGTCTTTTCCGTGGTAAAAGAAGCTGGCAAAGTCGCCAAACGTAGTCGGCTCTCCTGCAGCTCTTTCGTAGTGAAAGCAAAAGAGCAACAGGGCAGATAAAACAATAAAGCAAAGCCTCAACTTTCATTAATATGAGAGGAATTGCTTCAATCTTCGTCGTTTTAAAGATATGATAGCCCAAACTTTCATACCTTGTGAGTTTAGATGAGGCTCTCTTCTCCCGAGGTAGCGGCCAGAGTCTTTTAACATTAGGGACTAGATAGCAGTTTGTATGCAACAAATAGAGCCTATCAAATGTATGCTAAACTTTTTAAAAGTCGAGAAAAACCAAAGCTTTCTTCACCACTTAGGGCCATGTGCCACCATTTACTGTGTGTGGGGTGGAGCATGGCTTGATTGAACCACACCATAGATATTAGAGTAAATGAAAGGGATAGGAAACTTCCGTTCCCGGGAAATCAAGCTATTTACCCTAGAAAGCGGAGGAATCCGGATACTAGTATACTCTACCTGTTTATTTCCCATAGGAAGTGGCTACGGAACCGGTACCGGTTCCCATTTTCAAGGTCTTATAGAACCGGCATGATCACGTGGTGCCTAAACCACGCCCGTTTACACACGTGCTTAATCATGGCAGCTGTCTTTTCAAAGTCTGTTTCTTCTGCCGAACATTCTGAAGCTAAAGCTCGGCCCCAAGTACCTTCTTTCGTGCTTGGGGAACGATTTGAGTCTTATGATGAGCTGGAAGCTAAGTTGAAGCAGTATGAAAAAGCTACTTATACTCAATGGTGGAAAAGGGATTGCAGGACAGTAGATGCCGCTAAAAGGCGTGTAAACCGACAACTCTCTGACAAGATACGATATTATGAAGTTGTATTTAAGTGTATCAATGGTGGGAGAAAGTTCAAATCTAAAGGAGAAGGGATACGATCAACAATGTTAGTTTGATTATACAGTACTGAGCAATTAGTTCAATGATCTCATTGTGACCTGTTGTACAGGACCTTTCGTCAGAACTGCCCTGCAGAGTTGTCTTTGATAGCATC